CCTTGGCCTCCCAGAGTGCTGGGATTACAGGCCTGAGCCACCACACCCAGCCCTAATGCAGGGTTTTACATTTCCTTCAGTTAAGTTTAGTTGTGTTGTTTCTGATTATATTTTCATCCCAAGCTCCCTTAGTCAGTGGAAATTACCCAGTTCCAAACTGACAGATTCATATCCCGATCCAAGGACTTTGCAGCTCCATATTCAGAAATCCCCAATTTATCCTTCTACCTCTATGGCTGATTCACCATACCAACTTAGGAAAGTATTGTCAACTCTTTATGGCTAGGGTCTCCACTCTATAAAAAAGACCATTATTATACTAGCTGCATATTCAACACCGTCATTTTACCTCTTAGTAGTCCACACTTAAGGAATCACAAAGGAATGGGTGAATGTTTCAGAAAGTATTTGGGAGAGTTTCAAAAAAAAAAACCAAAAAAAAAGGAGAAAGAAAAAAGGGAGTTACATAGCTTCCAACTCAAGTGGCTTTGAAGAGATCAGCTGATAAAAATCAAAACAGGCTTGACATGGAAAGGGAAAATACTCTAGACAGTAAGTGTGAGGAGTGTAAAGGCTGTTGGCTCACCTACCTCCTGAATAAGCTAAAAATATTTCCCCAAGGAGTGGCTGGGATCTGCAGCATTCCAAGGAATTAAAGAATTCTGGTTTGATCCTTTTGGTTTATAGGATCCCTAGCAGCAATCCTCAAGAGCCCCAGCCGATTGGAGAGATGCCTCTTTGATTCCGTCCCAGAGCTAAAGATTGGAACAACTGTCCCTCCCGCTCTAAACCCACAGTCTGCCACAAGAACATTTTAAACCTTCCTCCATGATGAGCAGCAAAACTCCCTGACTGGTCCTCCAGATCCTTCTCAAGCACAGAATAGAGAGAGCATGATGGTGAGTGAGCATACTGTCCTTCCTGCACGTCTTCAGTTCCACCACACTCTCTTAAGGGAAGGAAGAAGTCAGGCCTCAACGCTGTACCTCTCTCTGGAGGCAGCAGGCACAAGTGGAATGTAAATGATGGAAAATCCTGCTTTTATGCAAATTGTAACTATAAACTCATTATAGTCAATATGAACATTGTATGGCTAAAGAATATCTCCAGCCGAGCGCAGTGGCTCACGCCTGTAATCCCAACACTTTGGGAGGCCAAGGTGGGTGAATTGCCTGAGCTCAGGAGTTCAAGACCAGCCTGGCCAACATGGTGAAACCCCATCTATACTAAAATACAAAAATTAGCCAGGCGTGGTGGTGCACGCCTGCAATCCCAAATACTCGGGAGGCTGAGGCAGGAGAATCGCTTGAACCTGGGAGGCTTGCAGTGAGCCGAAATCACGCCACTGCACTCCAGCCTGGATGACAGAGTGAGACTAAAAACAATATCCCCATGATTGTCAGAAAGAAACTTTTGTGAGACCAGCCTGGGCAACTAAAATACAAAAATACAAAAAATAAGCCAGGTGTGGTGGTGCATGCCTGTAATCCCAGCTACTCTGGAGGCTGAGGTGGGAGATCCCTTGAGCCTGGGAAGTCGAACCTGCAATGAGCCATGATCACACCACTGCACTCCAGCCTGGGCAATGGGAGTGAGACCCTGTCTCAAGAAAGCAAAAAAAAAAAAAAGTTTTTGCATATAGAGTTTATCCCAAAGACTGTGGTCACTTTAAAGAAGATTTCTCAACCTCTTCACTATTGGCATTTTGAGCTGGATAATTCTTTGTTATGGGGGCTGTCGTGTGCACTGTAGGATGTTTAGCAGAACACCCACTAGATGTCAGTAGCATTCTCCTTCCCCTGCCCCCAGCCACCCACCAGTTGTAATAATCACAAATGTCTCCAGATGTTTCCAAATGTCTCCTGGGGGTAAAATCACCCCAGGTTGAGAACTGCTGCTCTAGAACTTCTCTAGGTTTGGTCAGCTGCCAGGACGGGGACTCCCAGCTCAGCAGGATGTTCTTTGGGCTCCCAGCCACTCCAAGAAGCTTTTAGGCAGACCTGGTTCAGGCCAGTCCCTTACTGGCTAAGAGCTCTTGGGATGACTGGAATCTCCAAACCTCTATAACTGAGCTGAAGGTCTAGTGACTCTCTGCATCTCTGAAGCTTGAGACTACCTCAGGACAGCTTCACTTGCTTTTCCACCCAAGTTGTCCCTTGCCACTTACTCTGCACACTAGCTTAATTTGCAGGCAATTTCCAGAGTTACCCTTTGGTGATCAATCTGCTCAATCCCTTAAAGATCTTCTCATCAGGATTATTAGAACACTGGGAAGGCCGGTCATGGCGGCTCACGCCTGTAATCCCAGCACTTTGGGAGGCCAAGGCGGGTGGATCACCTGAGCTCAGGAGTTCAAGACCAGCCTGACCAACATGGCAAAACCTGGTCTCTACTAAAAATACAAAAATTAGCTGGGGGTGGTGGCATGTGCCTGTAATCCCAGCTACTCAGGAGGCTGAGACTAGAGAATCACTTGAACCTGGGAGGCGGAGGTTGCAGTGAGCTGAGATCGCACCATTGCACTCCAGCCTGGGTGACAGAGTGAGACTCCGTCTCAAAAAAAAAGGACAGCAGGAGATGTGATATAAAGGAAGATACCACATTATCTGGAAAAGTTTAAAAGTTTGATGTTTAGCAGGGGACTTCCTATCCCTAGTGTTACAGAATAACCTCTCTCCTTATCCCTCCCACTCTGGTAGGATTCAGTATAGTATTCATTCAATATGGGGGGCCTAAAATCAACCCACCCTTCACTCTTCACTTATCTTTCCAGACTGGGGAAAAATTTATAGCAATTGAGCTCACTCACAGAGAGTACCAGATCCCGCTTGCGCCTGGAGTTCTTCTGCCCACTTCCTCTGGTCCTGCATGGGGAAACAGTCAGCCCTAGAGAGTGTCTCAGCTCCCCAGTACTCCCAGGGCCTGACTCTTCCAAGGCACTGTCCAGCGCAGCCGTGGCATTGAGCATGTCCTCAGGGCGGGGTGGTGGCAGCTTGGTTCCATTTTCTGGTCCTGTCTCTGAGGTTGCCCGCTGGATTGCCAGTTGTGTGGCTGGTGAGAGCTGTTTGGCATAAGCAGGGACCAGAACTCGCTGTACTGCACCCTCAGAGGCCACGTAATCATCCACCAGCTAAGAATGTAAAAAAATAATAGCCTATTAGCCAGCCAGGCTTAGGGGAACCTGGTTAACCATCATTCTTTGGCTAAGAATAGTGAACAGAAAGTGGAAAGAAGGGGGACTGTAGCACAGTCTTTAATGCTCAATGGCTTGTTTCTCTGGGACTCCTATGAGTGTTGGGCAAATATTTCTTGTGTGTACAGGGCCTCTCATGTTGGGTTGTTACCGTAGGGCTGCTCACAAGGAGAAAGCATGCTTCTGACACTGTTTGTGAATCGTCATTTATAGATAGCTCTTGGATATAAGAAATGTAGCTAGGTAAGTGTTTTGTCTGAAAGGAGTGGGAGAAGAAGTGATGACAAGAAAGAAACCAAGCAAGAGAAGGAGTAAGAAAATAAAACAGTAACAACAATAAAGAGGAGACATAAAAGAAAAATGAGCAAAGGAGGAAGATATAAAGTCAGAAATCCCAAGAGAGACTGGCAGTGACAGCTCCCCTCACCTATCTTCCATTCCCAGAGTCAGTCCATGCCCTCACCTTGATCCTACCCCAGCCACATTCGACTGTCATAGCCCCTGACATCTACCTGACTGCCTGTGCCCTCAATCAAGGACATACAGAGCCGGGAAAGGAAGGAGGGAGCAAGGGAGAGAGGGAGGAAGAAAGGAGGGGGGATTTCTGCAGTCAAGAAAACAAAACACTGAAAGTGGGGAGACACACACACACACACACACACACACAGAGAAAGAAGCGGGGGAGGAGGCTGAGATTTATAGACCTGTGAGCTGCTTTCTGCACTGTGAAATCTAATTCCATCCTGTCAGCCTGGAAGCCTTTCCTGCCTCAAAGAACCCACAGCTCAGGGCAATGCCTGGCCTGGTACCCTCCTGCTTCCCACCTTCCAGGTCCTCCCCTCTTGAGCTGGAACAACTGAGAGTCCTGACCAGCCACAGACTGGGGTGAGCAGCAGTGGCCATTACCCATATGGCTGTGCCTTCAGGAGAGCAATGACCAGTTGCTGTGTTACACTGGAGGGGGAGAGGGGGGCTTCTGTATTCATTTCTCAGATCCAGCAGATGGGCTGGGAGTTCCATCCCTCCCATCTACTCCATGTGTTCTGCTCCTTTACTCTTTACTGGGGTGTCTATGTCTTGTTGTGGGAGCAGGAGAAAAAGAGAGGACAGACAGAGAAAAAGGTGGAGGAGAGCTGATAGAACTCCCACCGTCTCTCAAGTGGCACCACATCTGTTATTTTCCTATCTCTAAGATCTCTATAGTTGCTCCATCTCCTTTTCCTACTTCCATGTGTGACATTCTGCAGTTCTTACTCCACTCAGCCAGGATTTTCCTGCTCATATGGCCCTTAAGCAATAAAGAAACTGAAATAGCACAATGTACATCTATGTCTTTTCCTGCTCACAAAATATGCTTCTTGCTTCCTTCTTTTCTTCCCTCTTTCTCCCTATATGTTATTATCTTCCTGTTAACACTCAGTTGGCCATTTCTTTTTCTTGTTTCCCATTTTATTTCCTTTCCTCTACCTCCCTCTTGCCTTACGTCATAGTCTCTCTCCTGTGGTGTAGATTCTCTTTCCACATAGACTCACCTTTCTTCTGTGCTCCCTTTTTGCACTTTCTCTCCTCCCTCAGCCCTTCATTTCTACTTGTCTCTTTCCCTCCCTATACCTGTCGTCTGTTATCTTTATCTTTGTCCTCTCACTTTTTCCTCCTCTCTCCACCTCTGCCTCTCTCCCCTGTACATTCCCATCTCTCTTTGTACTGAATTCCTCTTGGCAAGCAGAGGGCCTGCAATAAAATATGAATGAGCCGTCTGTGCACGGCAGGCATCCTCACCAGGAGAGGCAGAGCCCATGGAGCAGCCGAGACAGCTGTGGAGGAAAAGGTGCCATGCGGAGCTATTGAGAGAGGGGGAAGGGCACCCCGTCACTACACACAGCAAAAAATGACCTTCTGCCAAAGAGGCTAATGGTTCAGGAAGAAAATCGGAGAGCTGATTATCTCTGAAGGAAAAGGAAACTTGGTCCTGTTTTGCTTTATCACAAATACAGACAAAAGGTTTAAAGATGAAAATAAAAGAACAGAAAGGAAAAAGAGTGAAAGGCCAGGAAAAGCACTTAGGAGCAACAGCCCTCTGCAGCCATACTCACAGGATTGAGCAGGGGGGCCCCCTCGCTGGCAGCCAGTGTGCACCCCGGGAGCCGCATGTCCCTCTGAGTTGCTGGGAAGCCCAAAGGCCCAGGCCCCACTGAGGCTGCTCCCAGCTGCCGCAGCTCCTCAATCACCACCTGCACGCCGCTACCCACGCTGTCACACTCCTCTTCCACAGCAGACAGAGCCTTAAAGGCTTCCCCGGGACTTTCCTTGAGAGGCCCAGGCTCCTCAGGTGGGGAACTATGTGCCCGGCTTTCCCCGTCTTCATCAGGGGTGGACACTTTCCCTTGTCTCAGCTCACCCATTTCCTCCTGGAGACGTTTTAACAACTCATTGTTGGCTCTGGCAAGACCCAGAGCAGCTTCGGCCAAACCCACTGCCTTATCCACCCGTTGGTAGATAATATGCAGGAGCTGCTCTGAGCTCTGAACAGCCAGGCCATGTCCAGTCACTGTGATGGGGGTGCTAGGAGGAGGATTCCCACCCTGGGAGCCTGTGTTGCCTCCATTAGTCTCACTCTTACAGGCACAGCAGCAGCATCTGGCCTCACTGCCACTGGGAGGGGAGAAGAGAATGGTGGCACTAAAGGACATGGTGGATGGGGCAGTAACAACCACGCTTACACTGCTGGGCCACTCCAATAGGTAGGAATCATCGACTTCTCTTGACTCACTTTCCTTTCTCAATGAGGATGGTCAGAGGAGCCCAGGCCCCAAGCTGTAGGGTCTGTGAAAGAAGAGTAGATAAGCCATGAAGAAGCACACAGTCCACGGCGGCCTCTCCTCAGCCTGCAGAAGGGAGACAGGTGCCTTCTATTTGCAGATCCTGTGCTCTCCTAGAACATCACAAATCAAGGCCTTCCTGATGAATGGTTTTAGAGGGTAGAGAGCGTTCCTTCTGCCCCCCAGCATGGAACCCCCAACTAGTGCAACCTAAGGAACAGGGAAGGGATTCAGAAGGACCTTCCGGCATCTGGAAAGATTAGATGATTAAGGAAGAAAATGTAGATCTGTCTCCTCCTCCTCCTCCTCACCATCTTTACTGTAATAATGGTACTGCATTTCATTGCTTTGACATTGTTCCTTAAGGAGTTCAGAACGCTTCACGTAAGTTACCTCATCTACTCAACAGCGCTAGGAAACACATATTACTCCAGGTCCGGAGAAGAGACATACAGAGAAGTTATATGTCTTTTTCAGGGTCAGAGGAATAACAGCAGAATCCAGTTATTGGTACTTTCAATGTAGTGGTTTTTTTTTTTTTTTTTTTTACCTGATACCACTTTTTGTTGACATTAAGAATCACGACAATCATGATTCTACCCTCTCTATAATTTTCATACAAATGCACATTTAGAGTAAAACTCCTAAATAAGGAATACATCCATCACTGCCCCCCTCAGCATGTCACCAGCTTCTCACTATTATATCATTAATGCTTTGGGGATGAGGGCAGGGAAATGAAATGAAAAGATCAGGGAATTGAGCAGGGGTAACCCAGGGCTGCACAGCCTCCTTTCCCACATAGTCGTATACCTGGGCCATGAGCCTCTGTAATGGAAACTAGCTGTCCTGAGTCTTCCAGCCAGGAGCCCAGAGAAAGCACCTGTGGGGCCCCTTATCTTCATTTCTCATACTCCTTAAGGGTGGATCCAAAATTCAACAGGAATGTCTGAACAGCCATGCTGCCACTTTGCCTGCATGACCAGCCCCCATAAAAGGAGAAACCAGAATGTCAGTGATAAACCAAACTGCCTTTCTTTTAAATTACTGTAGTTAAGCAACTAAACTACTCCAGGAGAGAAAAAAAGGAGTAAAGAAGTTGATTCGTACCACTGAGAACACTCCAGGGAACTTAATAAATATTGTAATTTTCTAAATAATACTTGATAGTAGAAAAAAAATCCTTCTGATGCTCCGTGTCAAAACCTTAAGTATGTTTACAATTTCCCTGAGAGATGCATTTCTCTCTTACCCTGTAAATTAAAACATTACAATTAAAAGGAGAGGAGGGACCGGACATGGTGGCTCACGCTTGTAATCCCAGCACTGTGGGTGGCTGAGGCGGGGCAATCACCTGAGGTCAGGAGTTCGAGACCAGCCTGACTAACATGGTGAAATCCCGTCTCCATTAAAAATACAAAAATTAACCGGGCGTCGTGGCGGGCGCCTGTAATCCCAGCTACTTGGGAGGCTGGGGCAGGAGAATCACTTGAACCCAGGAGGCAGATGTTGCAGTGAGCCGAGATCATGCCACTGCATTCCAGCCTGGCAACAGGGCGAGACTCCACCTCAAAAAAAAAAGAGTAGGAGGTTAGGAGAATTTTCTATATATTGAGGGTTTTCTTTTCTTTTCTTTTCTTTTCTTTTTGAGTAGGCAATCTCATTTCAGAAACAGGCAATATCAATGCCTCTGCGGTACTAAAACATAAATCTGACAATGCATTTTAATTACATGTGGTTATCAAAGAATAGTCTTTAATTTGCTCTTTCCACCCTTTATGTTGAAGAAATGGCTTTTTCTGTGCCAGATACTTACTTCTCACAAAAACTTAACTCAAATACATTTACAGCTTCCTTGTCATTATAGTCACTGGAAGGCACAGTTAAACCTGAAACTAAAGGTTAAACCAAATTAAAACTAAAGGTTAAAGGAAAGCACTAAGCGATTCTATGTCAATTTATAGATGAATCACTTATGTATTCTTTTCCTTCCTAAATTAGGGCCTACACTGCTCCTGCAGAGTTTTTTCTTTTTAATTCTTTCTTTAACCTACATCATGCAGGGAGTTTGCTCTTAAACATGGATGCTGTGGGCAAAAGAATGTTTTGGTGATAATAAATAATAGTATTCAAATGCTTGCCAGCTGTGTTCAGTATTTGTAAAATCAGTAATTATTACGATGCATCAGGTTGGGACACTGGGTGAGCTGTCTAACTCCTTTCTGGTACCAAACTCTCTTGCCTCACACAGTTACTCTTTCTTGCAAGAGGCTTTTACCTCTACCAGTGTTGAGCCTGCCTCAAGCTCTTCCCCTCTCTTTTATTTTTATTTATCATTTTTTTGAGACAGAGTCTCGCTCTGTTGCCCAGGCCAGAGTACAATGGTAAGATCTGGGTTCACTGCAAGCTCCGCCTCCCGGGTTCAAGTGATTCTCCTGCCTCAGGCTCCCAAGTGGCTGGCATTACAGACACGCGCCACCACATATGGCTAATTTTTATATTTTTAGTAGAGA